TCAGGTAGACAGCCTTCCTCTCCCACTAGAGCCTCCATACTCTGCTATCCCTGCCACTGTCCACTGTGCTGTCAGCACCCCCATCCATTCCCCCCTATCTGCCCTTCTGGTAAATCTAGTCAGCCAGAGGTCCCTGTTCCAGGAGGATCAGCTGTTCCTTATCAACGGCAATCCATTGTCAGTATTCCTTTGGATAGAATTGGGGTCTGCTGTTAATGTTTCCAGTAGTATGTTGGGTTACTGTCTGGAAGAGCCTTTATCTATCCTGGCCAAGAACTCCACTGAAGGTATCGCCTGTCTGGCTTAGCTGTTTGTCGGGTAACTTTTAGTTATACGTATATGTGTGCTCTTATGAAATTATATTGGCTCCTTTAATCTTTGGTTATACTTCCCTTTTGGGTGTTTAAGGACATTCCATTGGACCAGATAAACTGATTTATTGAAATACTACTGACAGTTCCTCCATTTGACCTCATTTTCCCTTGCTTCTGGTGCTAATTTTTAGGTGAATCTCAAAGTCACTATAAGGTTAACATTTGTTCTGGGATCCCTGGGAAATCACTTCCAGGAATCTGTTGGTGATTTTAACTGAGTCCTAAGCACTAAGTGAAGAGCTCACCCTCTCTGCAGTTGATTTTCTGGAGCTAGAGCAGCCACAGCCAGTGTGTCTGAGTGATAACTGAGGATGCAGAGGTCAAGAGGGCTGCTCCATGAGTCTCCCGTGAAAAACATCTGCATGCTGTCCTATAGGCAGTGGGGAGCCCAAATGCTTTAAAACTGAAAACTAACATGAATTTCTTTAGAAATATAAATTTAGGAATATATAAGGGATGCATTATAGTCACATTCATCACAATCACCCGGATTCTGCTCTGGCGATTATAGTTTGGGATCCATTGGATTAAAAGACGGAGTTTAGTTAGTAATGAAATTTGTCAGACTCAAAGGGGAGTTGTTTATATCAAGTTCTAACAAAAAATTAAAAAAGTAATAAGGCTGGGAAGTCACAGAAAAGGGAATATTACACACACACACACACACACACACACACTACATAGAAAGAGCTATCACAAAAGTTGTCTAGGACTACAACATCACATTGAAGGTCACTACAACCTCACATAAAAATTATTTATGTATGCCATCTGCCTGGTAAGCACCTGCTCAACTCTGGACTGATGCCATCCTAGCTATGGAGCTTTATAACTGGAGCAGTTATCTTAGGAGAACTTAGGTGATTCTTTTCATTTTAGCTGTCATTTTGGTCCTTGTCTCCCTTTGCCTCCTTGGGTGCGCCGTCCAGCACACATTCCCAACACTCTATTCTGGAGTAATAAACTCATTGACTCTGGAGAATCTGTCTTAGTTTGTTGTTTTAGATTGACTCTAGACAACTGAATACTGGAGATAAGACAGTAAAGAATGTGCTTCTCAGAAAAGATGAGTGAAATGGAGAGGAGGTAGGATCTTAAAGGAGATATTAATTCTAAGGTGGAGTTGATGTGATTAAATATCTAGAATTTATTTACGGATTGAGTAATTGCAAATAGTGATGCTGCTGACAAAAGAAACTTTAGGAAGGAAAGTACCTTTGGGACCAGATCCAGTGCATAGAAGGATGGAGGGGAGATGTGGAGATAATGGGGTTAAATATATATATGGAGAAAAATAAGCTGGATATATGTTTTGGAGAAGAAAGTGTGTGTGAATGCAAAGCAGACTAATATTAATAAATATCTATCAATACCCATAAGTAATGTAGGCCACACATTTTAGACTATTTTTAAACTCAAAGTCAAATATAAGTTACTTTATTATAAATGTTATCGAAATTTGGAATATTTGAGAAGTACTAACCATTTTGAAAATTTGAAACTTCTTTAGCATTTGAAAGAGTATTGCAAAAGCATTTATATCATGTAGCGAGTCAATAATAAAAACTAGAAGAGATCTTAATTCCTTTCTGGGTGCCTTGTATAATTAGACTACTTGATCTAAAATGTTAGTACTTCCCTTCCCACAATCTCCGCACACCTCAGTCTCCATGCATTCTTTTCACCTGAATTCCCACTGTTAGAAGAAAAAGAGTCTTGATTTTGATGTTCTAATAAAGGACATCAGCAAAGGCTTTTGTGAGAAAAACAAGGGAATGTCTTAGAATGTTTTCAGTGGTTGTTGCTGGCTTTGAAGTTCTATTTTCATTCACATATTCTTCATTAGAATGCAACGATGACTTTTAGAGAGGAAGTATTTGCCCACATTGTATCTAAGACAGATTCCGTTTATTAACTCTTTAGTGCGTTTGCCCTTATGTTCAACCAGAGAACCACCCCTTTTGATCTGAGGTACGAATGTGTATGAAAAGTGGCTGGTCTCCTGGGCAAGGATGTGAGCCACACAGCACCTCTTCTGAGCTCGCAGGATTTTCATTACTGCAGAAGATGCCAGTTCATCAGAATGTCATTCATAGCACCAAACCTGCACTCGCTTACTGAACTAATGATGCAAGGATGAGCTCAGACAGGGGTTAAGAACCCAGAGTCAGATGCAAGCAAGAAGAAAGCAAGAAGAATCAGCAGGGCAAACTAGCACAGAGCCAGAAAAGCAAGCGCCTGGGAAACTCACCTGTTAGATGATACACCAGGTTAGGTGACCGGACTGCAACAGGAATGATACTGACGAGAGGAGGACAGCGTGAAGCCCTGATGTTGGGCCTCAAGATGAACAGATTTGAAGAGGGGATTGGAAAATAGAAACAGAACGTCAACAATGAGATTGAGTTCTTTAGACCTGTAAGGCACACCAGGAACATGTGGGAATTTATCAGCAGAACGAGAGAGAATGCATTAGGGAGAACACTCTGTTCTCTAATATAGAAAGAACAACGTAAGAAACCATCTATGGATTGTTGATGGTGGGACCTTCCAGGCACTCGGCCTCACTGGCAGTGGTCCTGGAGGCTTCACATGCCAGTGCTTTCATGTGCATCATTTAACTTCAGTCCGTTTCTCTCTCTGAAGAAGAGATTTGCTCTTTCTTTCCTTCTGTACAACTGCTCTACTGTTCACAAACTAGATCCACTTAGCTGACACGAAACAATTGACATTTCAAATCCATGTGACATTCCATCACGGAAGACTGCTACTATAATTGTGAGCACATAAGCATTAGGTTGAATATTCTTTCTTTAAAAATTATTTTTATTTTATTTGTATGAGTGTATTGTCTGCACGTATGTAAGTACGTCCATATTGTGCAATGCCTGTGGTGGTCAGAAGAGGGTGTCAGATCCCCTGGAACTGGAGTTAAGAATGGTTGTTAGCTTCCATGTGGGTGCTGGGAGCCAAACCCAAATCCTCTGCAAAAGTCAATGCTCATAATTGCTGAGCCATCTCTCCAGCCTCAACGTTGACTATTCTTATAGATGGGGTAGTCTAAGGCTGGTGATTACAACCAAAAAGAAAAACAAATTCTGATCACCTCCTTGATCCCATGTGACCAAAGCACTCCATTACAATAAAGAAAAAATCAAACAGAAAGTCAATAAGCAAACAAAAACCATAGTTTTTTCCAGCTTGAGGGTGCTAAGTTCTTCCTGATTTGAATGCACTCTGGAAGTTCCAAACTGTTCCACAGAATTCCTTGCAGGCCAGCTGGCTGTGGGCTCATCCTATGGACTTCTGTTGTCCATCTCTCTATGAGAAGGGGATCCTAACTTGCTTTAAATAATGCTAGATTGTCCTTAGAACATCTTACAGGTATTTTTTGAAGGTTGACTTTCAAAAATGCCTAGAATGAAATACAATGTTAGATGATATTGTGAAAATCTTCATTTTTTTAGCTGTACCTTGATGACCCCAAAACATCACATAATCACACAAATACAGCAGAGACAGAATCTGCAATGCCTAATGGGAAACAAAGAAAAAGAAAGTATTAATAGCAGTCTATTTCTTCTACAGATTTTACATAGCAAATTACAGTTTAATTTTCATGACTTAGTATCTATTATCCAGTTCTGAACCTTCAAGATACAAAAATGAAAGCTTGGCAATACATGCCCACTGATGCCATAGTGTCAAGAATGTCATTGGGGTAATCAACCACTTTCTGAGCCAAGAACCTGTGGCCAGACAGGCAGGGGGGCACTAAGGGAGAACCTACTGCTATTATTCTGTTAAATGGCTATAATACTGAGCTAATTCCTAATAATTTATCATTATACCCATAGATTAATAGTGCCCCCTTTAATCCTCCTCAGAGATTATTTTGGCAGTAGGTGATAATCAAAACCAGAGACTCCTAACTAATCAAGGTGCAGAGAATAAGAAATTGAAGAATGCTCAGCCCCAAAAGGGGTATCTATATCACACTCTCTCCTCCCAGGTTTCAGGGATCACACTACCACTGCCAGTTAGAGTCTGGCATGTCAGCAGCAGACAGTAAGTGGCAGCAGCCTCTGATATGTGGGTCCCAATGACAAAAAAGCAATCATGATGCTAAGCATTGGAGACCTGGCTGGCCCGCTGTGCTCTGACCAGAGGAGCTCATGGTGCTGACTTCTCAATACAATCTATGAAAAATGTTTCACTGGGGAAATAGGACAGGTTAATTATTGATCTTCAGTGATTCAATCACAGAATGACTGAACAATAATTATAGATTCAATCAAAACACTCCAGAATTTTGAAGTAACTCTCTTCTCTTCCATAATCTGAAAGGGTCTAAAAGTTATAAAAAAGTTGTGAACCATTTAGATTAGAATTATTACAATGAGAAGTGATGGTTTTCATATGCAATTTGTATTAGATTTAGAAACAGCGTTGATTTTTTTTCTAGATCAAATCTTATTTTACAGGCCTGAATACAGTTTTCAGCATTGGCTTTGAATCGTGACCTACTTCAGTTTGTTTTGTGGTAGGTTAGACAATATCAGAGCATGTATGCATCACATTTGGTAAGCCTTGCTGTTTCAACATGTATTTTGTGAGAATTTGCAGGAAAGGAAGAAATTAAGTAAAAAACAAGTGTGACGCTCAGATTTTCATACTTTGACACAAAGAAAAACCCAGATTCTTAATTGCACTTTTTTCTTTTATGTTTTCCTCCCCTTGACAGTGTTAGAGATCAAACCTAGGGCAGTGTACATGCCAGGGAAGTGCTCAACCACTGAGCTACATTCTCAGTTATTCTTGGCCATCTCGGAGCAGGCAGGGGAAATTCAGACACTTACAAAAAGTGAATTTGGAACAGTTCAGGAGAAGTTCAGTCTCTTAAGTGGAGTGCTTGATCTAGAAGTAGTTACTGTTGAAAAATTATTGCTCTGTTTTATGTTGTGACATGTAAGTATACATACAATGTATATTTTTCATTTTTGAATGTATATGTGTATATATAATGATGAGTTATTAAAAACTTTATTCATCAACAGAGTAAAAGATAAAATTAATACCATAAAAGTGCCTTGAGCACACTGGAAGTATTCAGGTTTGTAAATGACAATATATCAAAAAACTCCTTCACCTTTAGCCTGGAGTTTTCAACACAAATTCACAACTTACCACAAACATTCCCTCCCATTTTCACATGGGCATAGCCTTCTATTCCCCAGGAGTCTCCCCATGAGTTCCGTACTATCCAATATGGAATATTTCCTATAAACATAAGATGGTAAAAGACCCTGATAAATTCATGTTGCATAGTAATCCATACATTTCAGTATTTAAAGTTGGATATATTATAAATCTACTTGGTGTAATTTTCTAATATATAGCACTCATTTACATTTATTTTCTATAAATTATTTTGTCTAAATATAAGTAGACTAGCTCAGTAAATTTGAATTCTACTTGACGTCTCTCTCTACTCAGTAGAATACATAGACTGAGTTCATTTTGCTTAATACAGAGACTGCATAAGACAAAAACAAACACATATTCCCAGGGAATTAGAAAAGGAAGTATTTTAAAAGTCTGAAAACTATCAAGTACTTTTGTCTTCCCAACAGTTACCCTAAATATACCAGAAAAGTTTACTTTACATGAATTGAAGATTATCATTCTTAGGATGGGAGTGTGGTTCAGGGGGAGAGCACTTGCTTTGCATATACAAGAGTTGAATACCCAGCACCACACATACACACTGATCAAAAAATGATGGATCTGCTGGGTCATTCCCATAGAGGGAATCATCCACAAGTCTCTTCTGTGGCATAGCAGATAATCTCAGCACCCTCCTAGACCATAGCATCATCTGGAGAACAGGCCAGTCCACCAGCACCTACCTTACCTGTTCTATCAAAGCCTGTGATGAGAACTGCATGGTTTGCCTCTCCGCTAGAACAGTGATGCTGGATGATGCCCCCCAAGTAATCCTGCCAGCTCACTGCATCCACAATCACAACCAAAGGGCCAAAGGTGAGAAGTGCTTTTGCCATTTCATCTTCTTGTTCACTATCAAAAGAGGAAATGCTTAGGTAAGGAATTTAGTTTTCAAGGTAAAGTATAAAGAGGATTTAAAATCCATGTATAGTTAGGAGTTAGATTGGTTACAAATACAAATGACTGAACAACACATTAAAAAAAAATCTTTGAGATGCTGATAGTCCAGGGTTGTATGGGACTCCAGGATATTAGGAGCATATGCTCTTTCATATTCTTTTGCTGTGCAAAGTTTCCATTCTTAAATCTGCCAGTGTCCCAAGGTGGCTGCTGTACTCCATCCAGCCAAGGTAGCTGCTGGCTCTCCATCCAGTCAAGGTGGCTGTGGACTCTCCATCTATTCAAGGTGGCTGTGGATTCTCCATCTATTCAAGGTGGCTGTGGCATTCCATCCAACCATTTAACATATCTTTCAGACAGCAAGAAATGGAAAGGAAAACTGTTGCATCTCTGTTGAGAAGAATTTCCAGAAATACCACTCCTGCATTCATGGATTTCATTGGCCAGAAATCAGTCATGTGGCCAACTCTAGCTTGTAAGAAGGTATGGAATAGTTTCCTATCTGCTTGCCAAAGTATTCAGTTAAAACACAGGGTTCCTTTTAATAACAGAAGTGTGAAGGGTTGATATTGTGAATACATTGTCACCTCTAAAAGATGATTGTATGAGAATCACCAGAGTACAGTGAGACAGAAAAATCTAATGTTACACAACATTTAGCCTTCACTCATCATAAATGAGTGTGATCAAACCATTATTTACATTTTTTAAAGGCCAGCTTGTGGGTGAAAGGTAGTGAAACTGTGCTACTGATAACTTGAGCCATTAAGATAGCATTTGGTAGTTTATTGCTATAGCAAGCTGTGGAAGATTGGCAGCTTACAGAGTAAATGTTCCCTCACCATGCCCAGCCAGTCCCATTTCCAGCACGGAGATATTTAGTTCACAAATGGGGAAAACACTTAAGGTGTAACAGTGGAATTTACTGCAATAGAAACTACATGTTCATTTCACACATGGACTCATGTAAACTATTAACAAGAAATTTAGACTTTGTAGATCTAAAACCAGGTATGTTTTTATTTTTGCTCTAATAAGAGTTATACAGCAAGATTACACAGAGACAGGAAAAATTATAAAAAATTTCAAAGGCAACGTAAACACAGTTTACCATGCCCAGTGAGAGTTATATTCTTATCTTGTATTCATGATCACATTTTGTTGTGGTTGTTTTGAAACAGGGTCTCCCTGTAGCCCCAGTTGGCCTGGAATTCACTATGTAGACCAGGCTGGCCTTGAACTTACAGATATCCACCTGCCTCTGCCTCCTGAGTGCTGGGATTAAAGGCGTACGCCTCTACACCTGGCTTCATGCTCACATTTCCAAGTCATCCAAGAACTTTTGACTCAAACCAGGTTTTGTGTGTATCTGTATCTATATCGCTTTCTCTATCATCTCTCTCTCTCTATCTATCTCTATCATCTATCTATCTATCATCTATCATCTATCTATTATCTATCTACCTATAATCTTTTTTTAATCAAAATATAGTTGTCTCCATCTACTTAACAAAAGACACACAGTAAATCTCTCACATCAATGACCCAGTTTCAGGGATACCAGAAGAGAACCTGATGGATTCAAAGAGAGAAACCTTCTCAGAATGTAAAGGATTATTAACACCGTAGAAGCAAAGACATAATTCAGCAACAATCTCTGCCTTGATCAGGATAAAGAACTGATAGAAAATGTATTAGGAAATCAGAAATACGCTAGACCATGGTCATGTTCTATTTGACCCCCTCAAAATGTGCAATGTTGGTACCACTTGCTCTTCAGAAAGGTGTGGATTTCCTCAAGTTGAACTAAACAGCAATAAAGTCTTCATCTCTACTGTCAATGCCCATGTGAGCTGTCAGCATGTACAGTGCTAAGAATGGATAAATTTTCAGATCCAGGGCCCATGTGCTAACTGCTTATTTCACAGATCAGTTTACAAAATTAGGGTTCAAAGAATTCTTCTAAGTGTTATCATCATCAAGACAAACACTCCTTGTTACTGACATTTGACGGTTCTATGGATTTCATCTTCTCTTCTCGAGAGCTTGATGTGATGGGTCCCATCTTACTGTCTGGGTCCACTGCAGTGTGTAGCATCTCTGGCCCCTTTCACTTATCTGCATAGCTATTCTCACAGGCTAGTTTGAGTTCTTCAGTGTCTGGATCTCATGGACAAAAGTTCATGAAAGGAGCTGAGGACCATGGTGATTTTGCTTTAAGATCAGGTAACGCTTTGTGTTTTCATTTTTTCTCCTTTTGTAGGTGTCTTTTGTTTCTTCACAATGTTTTATGGATGTTTAAGTGGATCACTGTTTCCTAAACAGACAAGCTTTGAGAATCCTGAAAACTAAAATTCCTGACAACAGGACCAAAGAGGGAGATACATGAGATCAGAGCTGGACAGGTACCAGTCCCAACCCATCCTCGCAGCCTTTAGTTGTATGACACCCCATCCCCCCTGAGTTCCAGGCCCATCACCAATGAAAGGAGTAACACTAACATGCCAGGGATCTGGTCGCTAACGGCTGTGCCAGATACCACAGAAGACCCCCATCTCCAGTCCTCACAGCTGCACTACACACTTTTACTTCCCACAGTGAAATGCCAGTTCTTCCTCTGAGGGCCTGAACTTCTAACAAGCTGAGGAATCACGGACATCTCTGCCTCAGCAGACCCCTCAGATAAAGGCTCCTTGTAATTGGCGGATATCATTTTTTGTGAAGCTCAGAAGCATGTCTCTTACTTCTCATCCCAGAGTTCCTTGGTGATTTATCACCAAGTTATGGGTAGGTTGAAGAAGCCTTTCTCCCTGCTCTCTTTTCTCTCCCTCTGACAGAGGTTACTGTCTCCAGATCCTCATTGAACTGGTATTTCCTCGGAGCTATTTCCTTGCCTTAGACTATCATACCTAATTCTGAGAATTCAAATTTTTGAGTTTTTCAGTCCAAACAACCTAGAATCTTCTATAAAGAACCATGTCATATTTGATGTATTCAACCCTATCTTTTGCCTCTATACCCTTCTTCTAATCCCCTTTCCTAATAGACCCTCATCTACAGGGGAGGTGGTCCTGCGTTCTATAAGAAAGCAGGCTGAGCGCAAGTCAGACAAAGCCAGGATGTGGCATTCCTACATGGCCTGTGCACAGCTCCTGCCTCCAGGTTTTGGCTTGAACTTCCCTTGATAAACGACTGTACCGGAAGCTAAAACAAACCATTTTCTTCCCAAGTTCGTTTAGGCCAGTGTGTTATCACAGCAACAGAAAACAACTAAAACACCACCATGTACTCCTGACATGGTATTCTGTGAACGTCATTTAATGACATTTGGACGTCTAGTTCCTTTTGTGGATACCTTATCTCTTTACTCTCAAGAAACTGGCAGCATATAGAAATATGCATAAGCATTTTAGGAAGTGTATTACCATCATCCTTAAAGGAAACAGTGGCTAACAATGCTGGTGGCCTGCAAAGCTTATCCAGGACCCTATGCAGCCAGCCAGCTGTGGAAGCAAGGCTCCGGTGTATGGTTTTTAGGGTCACACCCAGGGCCCTGGCTGCAGACAGGAGCTGGGTTGACAAACTGCCGATGCTCTGTATACTTACACACTGATTTTAGGGGTTATGTTTTGTTCAAGGATCCAATTTCATCCTTGGTTGCCTTCAGGTCCCATGGGAAGATGCCATCTGGATCAAGAGATTCTTCTAAACTCAGCACCAGTAAGTCACAGGACATTCTGTGTCCTCATCTGAATTGAACCCTGTTCTGTTTAATGTTTCAAGGATAAAGTAATGACCCATCATGTATTGTTAATGGAGCCAGGAACTGGTTGAGTTTCCTCTGTCTGTATCATTCCATTTTTCATGCTACTAAACTACCTAGATAAGCACCTGGCCAGCTTTGTGGTTCCCATGGGATTTTAAAGATGTGTTGCTATTTGTTTCTTCCTGAACCCATCCAAAGTTATCCCGCCCCTTCCATTTCCAACACTGGTCCTTCCCTTTGCCATCATTGTCTATGCATTCCCATCCTATGCCCTGGTCTGCAAAATTTATCAGTGTTATAGTCTAAGCTTTGAGTTTTGACCTGATTGGCTTGGGATTTATTTATGGATTATTACTGGAGAATTACAAGGAATCTAGTGTTCAAAATGCTTCTTGGTCTGTAACTTATAAGCAATACGATGATGATATAAGCTATCAGTCAAAAGTCTATACAATGTGATTTTGGATGGACTCAAATACTAAGACTGAATACACTTCTATGTTTTAGCTTCTGAATTGTGTAAGAAGAAAGTGGTAAACACAAGCTATAGCTTTAGACACAATTTAAAGTTGTTTATTTAGGGGGCAGGAGAGGTGGCTCAATGGTTAAGAACATTTGCTGTTCTTCTGCAGGACCTGGGTTCAATTCCCAGCACTCACATATTGGGTTGGTTTAGGCTAGTGTCCTATCACATGGTGACTAACAACCTCTGTAACTCCAGTTCCAGGGGATTCAATGCCCTCTTCTGGCCTCTGCAAGCAATCCACAAATGTGGTGCACTTACACACATGCAGGCATAACACTCAAACACATAAAAATTTTAAAAAGTTAATTTAAATTTCTTATTTTTAGTATAATTATACATAAAAAGGTAGATTCTCTTTTAGATGTACCTGCGACACTCCATTGAGACTGTCATCTGAGCTCTCTAGTAGGATGTGGGTTCTAAACCAAGAGTATACAGGGTGCCTTTGATAAATATTAATTCTGAAAACAGCATAGATGATACAGAAACACAGACATCGCACACACATACACACACACACACACACACACACACACACTGAGACATTTACCTGAAGTCATATGCAGAAAAATCCTTGATTGAAACTCCAGAATGTGAACCTGGAAAGTAGTGACATAGGCCATTTTCTGCCTTAAATGGGTATTCTGAATCTGCCACCAGTTTGACTTGTGTCTACAGGAAACAGTTACAAAAATGTTCACAGTCAGTTGATTTAGTTTTCAATGAATCAAGTGAAGCTGCACAAAGCATCGTGTGGACATAGGCTGACCCTAAGACCCTAGACTGAATCTTCAGGTGGTTGTTGCAGACATTCCAGACATCAAGAATCACTATCTTGTTTTTCTTTTACTCCATTTTTTCTTAGGTGTTCCTTCTTTAAAACTACCACAGATGTGCTGATAGTCTCATCTTCCTTCCCCTGAGGGCACGCTAGGGTAACACAGTTTCCTTCCAGAGCAACTAACTCCAAGCTTGCAAGGTTGAGATCAGTGGTTTGCACACAGGCAATGGTTAGGCCAAGCATCCTTCCTATCACGTCTCTTAATGTGCTGCTTATTGCTAATCCTCTCAACAGACAGATGAATGCTTGACTCGCTGGAAGTATAGGGGCATAATTCACTGGCATGCAGGGGTTGGACGTGAAGTCAGTGTAGTAAAAGAGCATTTGGATTTGGGGAACACTGTCTTGATTATTGTACCATGGCTCCTTATCAGTTTAATTCTTGAAGTTAATGCTGGATATAGAAAAGCGCCAGACTGAAAAGAAAAGTGAGACACTGTGTGAGCAAAGCCCTGAAGTAGGAGGTGAAGTGCTATGGTGCAGCTCTGTCTGCCTCAGCCACTGACTTCGCAACATGATCCCACCTCTCAGCAATCATTTTTCATCTCTAAAGAGTCATAAACCAGTTGATGTCTGATTTCCCTACTAATATCATCATTCAGAAGGTCTATCATTCAGAAGCCAAACTCTCTTCTTTCTGGGGCATTAGTTCTGAAAAGATTTTACAAGAAAATTACCTATTAGAAAATGTGAAGAGATCATCGTATCTTTCTGAAAACATGTTTCAGATAGTTCTTCATAATTTAATATAGTTATGGTTAAGCTGCCCGGAAGGCATCACTTTCTGTGCCTTAGTTGTCTGTGGATGTAGCACAGTGGTGGAGCTCTTGCCTACAATGTGCCTGCCTGTCCTTGGTTTAACTCCCTGTAGTGTACTTTTTTCCTTGATTAATTCAATCAAGCTCTGGGCATCTAAATTTCTGAATGTAGAACCTTGGTTAATATGATGGAGTAATTGGACTCTGCATACACAGTAAATAAGAGGAAATTGGTCGTTAAGAAGACTGAAATGTTACCTTGTTTAGCCAGCTCAAAGCACTGAGAGGAGAGCCACCCCGGCAGCCATAGTTGTTAAAGGAACAGTCGATGACTTGCTGCACACTGAGGTCCTCCAACGGCTTCCCTTGGATTGCACACACCGACTCCACTGCACCCACCACGCTGAAGGCCCAGCACCCTCCACACTGCAGAGAAGAATTGGTAACGTGTTATCACACAGAGTCTAAGTCAAATTTATCAATGTCTCTAAATACAATCAGTGCTCAAAAACAGTAAAGTGTCCAGAATCTGGAAACCTACAGACTAGGCACTCATTCAGCCTGAACAAAGAAAAGAAAACAAGAATTCTTTTTTGAACATTGAGAGCCAATTATTTGTTAAAACTGCCGGTCATGGTAGCACACGCTTTTAATCCCAGCACTTGGGAGGCAAAGGCAAGTGAATTTCTGTGAGTTCAAGGCCAGCCTGGTCTATATAATGAATTTCAGGCCAGCTGGGGCTACAGGGAGACCCTGTCTCAAAAAGATCAAATAAATAAATAGATAAATAAATAAATAAATAAATAAGTAAAATAATAGTGAAAAAAACTAAATTAATGATGTCACTATTAAAAATTAAGTAAGGCAGATAAAGTGAATTATTAAAGGTAAATATCGGGAGTTACTAATTAAAAAAAAAAAAGACTAGTCTGTGGCTTCTATTTATAAATGACTGCTACTTGGAAAAGAATAAATGGACTGATGAAAGGAGGAAACCCAGGGACTAGAAATGTAAAAGTCAAGGTGGTCCACAGAAAAGGTAGGAAAGAGAGAATGATTTAAAACCAGGCTCAATTATGGACCATGTCCTGCAGAATTGGTAAAAAGAAGGAAGAAGAGCTAGAAGTCTGTGGGGTAAAGTTCTGAGCAACTTTGCGTTTTTTGGTGGTTCTATTTATGCCTCAACCTCCATGCCTATAACGCTGGGAAGCAGACACAGACTAAGGAGGGCCTGGTCTCCAAACCTTTGACTGCTGACCCCAACTCCCACAGGTAGCATCAGTCAAGCCACTAGGGCAACTGTAACACTGCTGAGTATGTAAATTCCCCTTCAAAAGGTTGCTAAGGGAAATTTCCTTTTCTTTTTTAATGGAAAGATTGGATTCATGAATAATCCACTACTTATCAAGACTGCAAATGATTAACCAAATGACTTGATGGTAAGTTTAATTAAGCACAACCATAAACACAGCATCTGAGAACCAAGAAAGTCCAGCCTATCTAGATAGAGACCAGGACACTTCTGGATGTGAAACACATTCTCTTCCAAAGGGCTGCTCAGGGATCAGATGAGGTTTCCAGTTCAGGCATCCCAGGAGCACCCTCCTTGTCTGCAGTTCTGACTTTCCCTTGCAGGCTATATTTCCTCTCCTGATAATGGAATACACCAAGGTAGGAAAGGTGAATAAAGCATAAATGTGCTCCGTGAAGTTCTACAAACTAGGTGATACCCTATGCGGTCACATGCATCTCGTGGTGTTACCATTTTCCTTCAGATTTGAGATTAACTCTCCTCTCTTCTTTCCCATCTCCCACCTTGGCTAGCACACTCTGGGTCTTTTTCAAGCTGGATTGCCTTATCTATTGCAGTATATATATATATGTCTTATTTCTTCGACAACTGTAAAACTGGGCTATTACATTTATCAATTTCCTATCAGCTTTAAATATGCTTCACAAAGTTTTTGAGCATTGTGATCTAATCTCAGTTCTCCCATAATCCCTTTTCTTTTATTGTCCAATTTTGGACAGAGATGATCTGTAGCAACCTGTATATAATATTGTCACTACACTGACTGTACTTCTAAGGACCCTGAGCTAGATGGTGTGTGACCTATAGGTGGGCAAGCTGACAGGGTTTTCCAATGGAGCTCGTAGGATGAAGAAGGTTAAAATCCCAGGAGACCTGACTACACTTTCAGAAAGTGGGACCAGTTTCACTTTGCTTTTCAGTGTATTTTCCTTTTGAATATTTAAGCACTCGGTGATCATGTTTGCCATCCCAGCCTTCTATCTGTTAGTCTACAAAAGGCTTAGCTTCCATAGCATGGTTACTTGAAAATATGCTAGAGTGTGTATGCTGAAGGCAATGGGGATTTGTCATTGAACACACCAAGGCAGATTTAAAATTCAGAACTGGCCACTGTCTCTCATTCCTCAAAGATCCTTCTCTGCTACTTTTGGATAACTGAGGTGTGTTTTGTTATCTAGAAAAACTGATCGGTTTCTTGGAAGTTTGATTGATCTTGAATTTCAGAGTACTTTCTAATGCTTAAATGACTAAAAGAAAAAGGACATTAAGACTTACCATCTGCTGGCTTCTCACTTGGGTTACAACATGTTTGTCCCTCCAGTCAAATCTCAATGGAAAAGACATATTGGGGATGGGCATCTGTCTTTCTGCTGGGTATCTGGGAGACCAGGCGGGTCTGCTGCTTAAATAAATGACTGACAGAAACACATAGTGACAATGGAGACTGTATTACAAGAAAGGCCACTCAGAGGTCTTTTCAGAACAACTTTCAAGCAGAAACATTAGCTTTCTGATGAATTTGCCATTTGATTGTTTTCCTCTGTGCTTTTCTGTAACATGAAATGCATATTTCTGCAAGGTACAAAGGAAAATTCCTACAAAAAGATTAGAGCTGACACTTAACATGATTAGCTTGCTAGAATCAGGCCAGTAATAATAATGTGTGCAACTGACATCATTCCCTTTACCAGAACCTACAAACCATGAACAGTCTGACCAGAGGTGTCACTAGAACACTGCTCATATGACGAGGTAATCATCCTCTGCAGCTACATGGACCTGCATTAATTATATTTAATGCAGTGATTGGCAGAGAGCACTCAGGAATTCATTTTCTTTATGACTAGCATATGATATATGCTTGAAAGTTGGTAAGTATTTAAAAAATGTCAACTGTCATTCAGTTAACAAGATTTACAATTAAGCAATTCCTTAGTTAGGCACAAAACTTAAAATCAAGAAATTAACTCATCATATCACCAGACCATACCTTTAAAATCTTCAGGAAACAGATAAGAAAACTGATTTATTCCATAGATGGCACTGGAGTTTTCATGGGGGAAAGAATTCAAGTATCGATGTCTGTTAAGACTTTCCTAAAAGAATGAAAACAAATTATTTTTTATCTACCACTTCAACTCTCCAAGGAAATCTATCTTGGAGATATTTTTCTAGTGCAAAAGTCAAAACTTGATTTATTTCCTGCAGATTATGATAAAGGTGGGTAAGACAGTTATATCAAATTTACAAACATTTATAATCTAATTAAAGATTTAATTTTGGGCTGGGAAAATTATGTATTACACGTCTACTCCTCCTGCATGCGCTGGGAGAATCACATGTTTACTGAAGCGTTGGGTAGCAGTGGATACTAATACACATTGTCCCTTGTAGATGTCCCCACATGTGATTAAAGTTATGGATAAGAAATGTGTCTTCTTCATCTTAAGAGTAGGAGGTAGGAATTGGCTAGGCAGTTAGGGTAAAAAGACCCCAAAGAAAAGTAGCCAGGTTCTTGGCTAAAAGTAAAAATGTCCTTGGGCCTCTTAGCAACCTACTCCATTCCGAAGGCCAAAAATGTCGAAAATATTTGGGATCTTGTATCTAATCCTTAAAAGATTTTAGGGTTACTTCTCAGAGGCGGGAAATGTTAGAGTAGCCAAAAGCCCCATAAAATTTTTAAAAAAGAAGAAAGAGTACATGAAGTTATCAGAAAAAAGTGATAGGGATATTTGAGAGGAGTTGGAGGGGAGGGAGTGGGCATGGATTTGATCAAAACACCTTATATGCATGTATGAAATTCTCAATAAATTATTTATTTTAAAAAGGTAACAAAGCATAAAAGTGAACAAGTAAACAAGTGAATGAGTAACTCTAATTCGATTAAAGTTTCACCCAGGTCTATCTTGCATGGGATAAAAAGGATCTACAGAAGAGATGCATCCTAAAGAGCTCCTGGAGGAAAGTCCGGTTTTCCGATCTAGCTGGAATGAAAAAATGTAACCCTCACTGTACTTTGTCATAATTTATCTTAGCTTGCCTTTTCTGTGAAGGGGTTTCAATCTCCTAACTCTATCTTCTACCTCATTATTCAGGTTACATGAAACTTCAGAGGACTTCCATTCCCTGAGCTTCTAATTCTAGCTTGTGCACATAAAGGGGTGTGTGTGTGTGTGTGTGTGTGTGTGTGTGTGTGTGTGTGTGTGTGCATGTGTGAGACCAATAAGCAAAACCAGGGCAAGTTCATCAGTCCCACTGTCACTGTGTCACCCTCACTGAGGACATGCCTAGAACACAAGAAATCTTCAATAACTATCTGTTGTGATGTTTAATAACTACATAAGTGAAATGTCCCAGACCCCCCCCTACCTTCATCAGCTAGTTATTATGGAGACCACTGCAGAGTCAACATAGTCTTAATTCTCCCTTATCCAATATGACTAGAAGGGTTGTTAATCAGTGAATTCTAAATGATTTTTAAAGTATTTTATTTATTATTTTTATTTTATGTGTGTGAGTGTATTGCCTGCACATATGTGAATGCATCCATGTCGTTTGATACCACAGAGGTCAGAAGAGGGCTTCGGATTCCCCTGGAACTGGAGTTAAGGACGGTTCGTAGCTGCCATGTGGGTGCTGGGAATCAAACCCAGGTCCTCTGCAAGAGCAGTCAGTGCTCTTAACCGCTGAGCCATCTCTCTTTCAGTTTCAGGTATGTAAAAATATTTTTATGAGTCTAGGCTTTGAAAATGATCTGGATATGTTTATACAAAAATAGAATGAACAGGTAATTCTGCATTACTCAAATGGCAACACAAGCCACAGAATATTAATATATTAACTCCAGGGAATTCACAGGAGTCATTCATCAATAAGATTGATCGACCATTTTATTGAGCTGGAGAAACCAGGAAAGGCACTGAGAATGCAGGATATTAAGAATTCTGAGAGCATGTGGCCACCACCGGAAGGTGCGGGGCAGACCTCTCCATTTGTGGAGAGCTTAGCTGCTGTTGGCTGAATTGTCAGGATGACAAGCAGAAAACTACAGTTTCCAGAGCGGTACCTGGCTGACCCTTGAGTACTGAGACTGGCTACATGTGGGAGACATGGAATCTCTTGATAGCTACTTTTTGATTAATGGGGCTCCCCAGTGGCCTTGACAAACCTTCAGACATCCCTTGACCTAAAGAACAGAACAGGGCACATCACCCAACCGCCCCTCACTTTTTCTGTCACTCAAGTTCAGTGTTGCATTGCAATTGTACAGCTCTCCCCGACCCTCTGCGTTCCCTATACGAATTGCTTCTATGATGAGGAGAAAGGGTGAAATAAAGACATAAATTATCGATATCAGGACTGAAAAACCATGACTACAGTGCTTCAAGCATTTGAAAAGTAATTATTTTGACAACTGTATGCCAATATATTTTACAACTTATGAGGAATGGAAAAACTTGAAAAAACAGATTACTGAAGCTGAACACAGGAGAAACAGAAAAGTTGAGCACCCTTTATTGACTCATGGCAGTAAAATCATAATTGAAAATCGACCCACAAAGAAAACTCCAGGCCCAGTGGTTTCAGTGGTGAATTCCATACAATTAAGAAAAACAAACAAACAAATTTAAAAAAAAACAGATTTTATGGAAAACAGAGACAGGAATGCTTTGCGATTTAAGACTAATGTTGCCTTGATTCTAAATCAGAACTCTCAAGAAAGAAGGACTGTATATGAATAACTCTCATGAATATAGATGCAAAATCTTTAATGAAATATTAGCAAATAAATTCCACAAGGTTTTTTAAAGACAGTGCATCATGATCAAGTGCAGCTTACTTAAAAAAGTTATACTGTTTTAGCATAGGAATTTAAATTAATATAATTATCTTTTAAACAGAACAAGAGAGTAAAAATGATATATTTTAATAAATACATA